AAAAAAAACTTCAGAGCTAACTTTTCTTCAATCCCCCAGGTGCACCTTCGATCTATAACTAGGAAAACCTTCGAACCTGTTGTCGCTGATTGTTGCTGATGGAGGTGATCACTTTGACGACGGTGTCCTTATCACCGGCTCGCAAAGCGCGGTCGATCTTCTCAGCGGCCAACGCTGGATGGAAGTCTGGGGCGTCAACGATTGTTGCATAAGGGGAGTTCATTCTGAAATAATTCTCTGAGTAGTTTTCTCTGAGTAGTTAAAAGCCTCTAACAAGCGGTTCATCACACGGAAACGCAAATCGAGGAAAGAGAAGGAAAAAAAAAGGTAAAGAATGAAGAACCGGAAGGAGGGGGTAAACAAGCGCCTACTGTGGAAAGGAAGCAGCAGTGTAGAGCAAATGCATCGACCAAATCATCTACACGACGGGATTCATCAAAATTGGTCTATATGGAGGTGTTCTACGGAGCAAATCGTCCATTCATCTTCCTCAACCTTTCATTATTTCGTCTTCGTTTTGGTGTCTAACGGTGACTAGACCATTGTATGGGAATTTCTATGGGCATTGATTGAACAAAAACGAGCATAACGGGAAGGCTGCTGTCTCTGCTATGGCAGCCATAAACTTGCGCAAAGTATTATTCATAATAAAGAAGAAATCAATGATAACTGCAGAGGCATTCAGAGAGAACACCAATGGAAAGCAAAAAACTCTCAGACAAAGTGCTCGCCGGTCCAAACGTTCAGAAATCAGACCCGGAAAAGAAACAGTAAATACAGCTGCAATGAGGCTGTGAGTTCTACGAAGAATGTTGTTCTTCCGGAGAAAAAAAAACATTTTATCGGATCACAGTCTAAAATTATCACAAGTTATCATGAATTACGAACTCCATAATACTACGTATTTGGAGCTTTCTGAACCATTGAGCCCTCGGCGACCAGCGCAAATCTTCAGGATCATAGCGAAGCAGTCACCTAGAATAGGCGTAATAGGAGAAGCACTGAATTCGAGTGGAAATAGCAAACGAACGAGGCGAAGGAATAACAAAAGCCATTGCATCCGATTTTCCTTGGGTTGCACCCAACCAAACCCACCATCTTCCCATCTATTCACGACTCATATAGAAAAAAAACCTAGTTACACTTGCATTGCTCCCCAGCCATTAAGCCACGGAACTTATCGAAGGAAAGGGGAAGGTTTGTACATCTTCAGGGGTGGGTGTGTAAAAAAGGTCATCTGGGGATGCCTCTTTCACTGGACGAAGTTGACCACGCTTTTCGAGATGAATACTCAAGCTGAAGAGAAAACAAATATGATAGGGTCAAGTGAAGACAATTTACTTTTACGTTTTGGTTTGGGTTTGAATGGACCGTGTTGAACTTCGCTGCAGTTACCCCTATGCCCTCCTCTAGGTTTCATCTACGATACATCGTGGAAAGGAGTAAACAGAATGGAAATGGCCGAATGCATTTGCTACGGAGCAGATTAGTGGAGGAATTCTGTAAACAAATATTTATGCAGCTTCTCCAGCTCGGCTTTTTCCAGAAATAATCGTATGAGAAGGAGCAAATTCATGGAAGTTCGAGAAAGTTGACTACAATGATTCTCGACGACCCAAAGACACTCCGATGTCGGCCGATGTACAGATAGCTGCTGTGTGATGGTTGCTTCGACGGCGTCGGAGCGTAAAAAGATATGGACGGACGAGGTGGATGACTCGGTCGAATCGATCAGGTCGGAAGAAAAAACTGAGCGGCATCGGAAGGAGCGTGTAAGATTCATCAGAAATGCCTTCATTAATGAATTCTCATCCGATGTCATGCAAAGGCGCAACAAGACGGACGACCTGTGGTCGCAGGCAGATGAGCAGGAATCGATGTCGGTCGCAGCAGCAACGGCGCCAGATGGTTCCCACCCACTCTTGCTCTCTTAACATTCTATTACGAGAGAGTCGTCTATTTGAGGAATGATTCACCCGACCCGATATAGCTAGCGGAAACTGTCAAATTTCCTGCCTACTCATCAATTGGCCGTGGCACATACCAGTTTTCCCCGTTTCAATAACACTAGGATGTCGAAATGATGCCTGGTCGCTAGCAGAAACCTCTAGGGCAAAGAAATAGGAATTTCAAAATCAATAAAGTATATTCGCAAGTACTATAATATAATAGTAGACTGCCCTCGGTATAGAAGAACTGCCTGTATAAATAAATAAACAAAAAGTAAACATGTTGCCCCTGCTTCACAGTCATATCTGAGATATAAAATGAATAAACAGTATGTAACATACGAACATATAAATGAAATAACTACGAAAAAGTAAATACATATATAAGGGAGAGAACTTTC